GTCGAATTCAACACTCAAGACCGAAGATAACATTATTTTGTTTGGAGCCGAGACCTATTACAGTAATTGAAAAAGCCTTAGCACCTTATACAAGCTGGCCTAACTGTCATCAAGAGGCTAGTTAAGTATTTTGCATTAGGCTTGTTGACTGTAGACGAGGGACACATTGCTAGCATAAATGATTTAAAAGGAAAAGTGTTTTAAGGGAGAAGAACTTTTTAGAACAGTTATGTAACTCAAACTTCTCTCCTGGAACTGAAATGGGTATCCATCTTAGTGATAGACACCTTTCATTTTCTATATTCAGAAGAGTTTGTCATTTAAGCTTTTTATTTAATTAGGTACCTTGTCCTCTTGTCTGGCTATGATGCTGACTTCAATGGAAGCTGCTGATGCCGCAAACACAAGGTCCCTGGATGAAATACACGAGGCAAAGCAAAACATTACACCAGTTTAGCATGACATTAGAATAAAACAAAAAGGAGTGTGAAAGAACAAACATCGCATTCAATCTCAACAGTGCCAACTACACCACCCAAGCCTGTAAATTGGGATCATTCTTACCAGTCTTCCACGTGGCTAAGGAAGTAGTGGTGTTGTCGCTCAGTGCAACTGCCGTACACCGTGTCACTGAAGTTGACATACTTTGTCTCCACCTTCTCATCCTTCTTCTACAAAAGACAAACAAATGAAAACATATCGCACTTTGTCACATTGGCTTGCAAAAAAATATGGTAATGTTACATCCGTTTCTTCACCTTGTTGTTGTGGACATGTCGAGAGACTATCATCACTCAAACAAGTCACATTCACTTTCAAAAGAACTATATGGTCAAATTAACCTACTTAGGTGATGAGCAAGACGGCACTGAAGACTGGAAGGGGGGCACTTAAATACAGATGTGATTAGGTGAGTTCAGTGGGCATACTCACAGGGATGGAGATCAGCACCAGCTCAGGAGGGGTCTCAAGGGACCCATCTGCAGCGGCATATACCACCGCAAACACAAAGGTTTTCAGCCACAGTACATCCAGAACTGTGAGAGACAATGGCAAAGATATACTGTATTTATAACATAGTCATTATATGCTATTAAATCCATCTTAGTATATGGGCATACAACGCAGATCTCATTAATTAGGTATGGTAGGTTTGCCTAACCTTTGACAGGTTCGTCAGAGGTGTAGAAGTGTGGACAGGGGATAACTTTCTTTTCATCTAGTTCCTTTTTAACAGAGGAGAAAATCAGTTATTCTTCTGGTCAGTCACTGGATGCTGCAGCTCACAGGGAGCATTATGGGTGTTATTTTTTATGATGGGGTTTTAGGTTGACTTACTGGTGTATACTGGATGACTGTGGCATTCATTTTTCCTGCAGCGACTTGTTTTCCTTTTGGGCTCCAGCAAACTGTGTGACACATTGACAAGTTCATTTTGAGCCACAACAGAAATCCTGAGTACAGGTAAACTCATTTATACGAAACCGTAGTAGTGTCACTCACTGCATGTGATGCCACTTGAAGCAGGTAGCTCTGCCTGCACTTTGACACCATCAGTAACATCCAAAATCATCATACTGCCATTAGACAGACAGGCAGCCAACATGGATGCCAGCACAGGATTCCACTTCAGGTCCTGCACTGAAGTGTTGGGGGATACTGCTGGCAGCAGTGAGGCAAAAGGTAGCTTCTGTGGTCTTGCCTGGAAAGGAATAAAATTACAAAAAAATAAAAATATCAATAGGTCAAATGCTTAAATGACTAAATCTGGCAGATACTACTACATTTATTAAGTGAATATCTGGATAATCAGAATCAGCTTTATTGCCAGGTATGTGTACACATACGAGGAATTTGACTCTGGATTGTACATTGCTCACAATGTGCTTACTTATACAATAATACAGTAGGACAATAATAATAACAACACAGGCTACAGTATAGAGAACACATATATACACACTATGAACAAAAACAGACAGATTGAGACAACAGTGCAATGAACAGAGTGCAAAGGATGCAGAAGAAATGTACTATGTACATGTCGGAGGTGGATGCGATATACAGGTGCAAATATGCATACATGTACATAACAAAAGTAATCAAGTTTAAAATGAAATGTGTGAAACTGGAAATCTTGATTTAATTTCATGTACTACCTTCTAATAGCTTAATTGTTAGTTGCATACTCAATATGCCCGTCTGCAGTAGAGGTTTACAAACTGTGTATTTTATAAAGGTCAAAATGAAAAAGGTAGATGAATTATTTGGACACTTTGTGGCGAATTTAATTACAAATTATGTAGATTAGTTAGTACAATAATTGCTGTTTCTTCACATTAGGAGTATCTGTGAGTCTGCTGCTGCGCATGCTGGATAGCTCTAAACGACAACATGAGCTTAAAAGCTTAAAATGTGCACAACATTTTATCAGAACAGATCACTTATTTCTTTGTAGTCATTGTAGTCACTGTAGTCCAACAGGCATGGTGCATGTCTCATACGCTGGCATATTAAATACACTGAGTAAAGTAGTCACCTTGTTCATGAAGGTGCGGACATCATAGAATGTGAGGGACAAAACCGCCTCCTTAGACATGCCACATACTGACAAAGTAAGTTCATCACAACTCAGAGCCAAGTGGTGCACAGCCAGGTCCACAGTCACCACCGCCAAAGCCGCTATCCCCTCGACTAGAATAGGAGTGAATTGAGAGTCAGAGAGACATGAATGGAAATAACGCTAAAGATATATTCTTCATAAATGTAACTTGACAATGCACAAAGCTGAACTGATAAAAATTCAAATTCAAACCGGTATGTTATGCGTATAGGCATATTCATACCTATTTCGTTGGAGTGTCCGTCAACTTTATCTGCAGACAGAATGTCTCGAGTTAGGTAAACTTTGAATGTTCTGTCAAGCCCAACAAAAGTTAAACCAAATTTGTTTGAGACGGTAAGCAGAGTAGATCTTTCTTTTGGCAAATCTCCAGTGGGCTCGAAAACCCTTGCTTTCTTCATCTGACGAAACTGAAAATCCTGAAAACGAAAATGCACTGTTGGTTATTTCAGGATGACCAGTTATGGGTGGTAAACATACGTGGTTCCAGCAAACTTAAACTAATCCGTACCTCCTTCCATGAAGAAAACCAATAACATACTGTAAAAGAGCTTGACAGCATGACATAACAGCCATTAACTGGGTAAAACATGAAGCTGGCTACTTTAACTTGAGTAGTTTGTCAACAACACAGCTATGCAAATCCTAAAATTGAAAGTTAAAATCTTGGGTGTTAGCTAACATGCCGTGCAGTCACGTCACGTTAGCTAATGATGCTAAGCTTCTTTAATAACATTATAGTAAAATATATAGGACAGAACAAGTATTTAATGACTCTGTTTCACACATGGGAGATTGTTAATTCACTTAACCTAAAGTTAGCATTCAACTCTCAAGGAGCAGATATGATATATAACAGTCTAATAGCTACCGTGCTAGCATAGTTAGCTGGCTCCAAACTGAAAAGGTAAAAGTTGCCGTCACAACTTTGTCATGTCAGACTTTTAAACTGCTAACATTAGCCAATTCTCTAAATGTTAATTGTGTTAATGACAATGATATGGTTCTGTAAATGCGTTAGGGTTAGGTTAGGATGAACTAAACAGAAAGCCTAAACCCGACCAGCTGGCTAAACAGCTAAGCTAGCCAGAACCACTGAAGATGATATGACCCAGTGCTCGCAAACATTAGCTTTCACATGCTAACATTTCAACACAACTTATGGATAACAGCATACCTTCATTTCCCTGTCAGGAGGGGAGTCTGTATCATCGCTCATTTTGAAGGAGAGAAGCTGTTGCTTTTCCAGACGATCTGTTGTTTTATTTTATTCCTTCTTAGTACGTATTTGAGACAGATGTCTGGTGAGTCGCATCTGAAAACACGCCGCGCGGTTTTGCAGTAGAACGAACGTCACAGCTACGTAGGACGACGAATAGATTGCAGAGCACCCTGAGACCACAACACTGAGCCAACACCTACCACCACGCTAAAAACCCGCTCTAGAAAATGGGCACATTATCTGGCATCTGATGACTTCTCCTTCCTGCTGGGATGAATTGCAGTCTAATAATAAACACGACAGGCGACTTTGCAATGAAACTGTCGGTCGGTCTTATAGCATTTAACAAAAATAGTGACTGGCTGGACTGGCAGTTTCCCTGATTGCTGATAGCAATAAAAATAATTAAAAGTTCTTATAAAATTATATTGTTTGACAAAAGGTACCAGTAAATTCAGTTAATTAATATCTATAACATGAAAGAAGTTGACGATCTTTATGTCTGTAAAAAAAAAAATCTGAATTGTTATTTTGTCAAGGTGAGGTGTGATTGCCCTGCTTCTTGCTTAATCTCAATGCACAATTTTTTTCTAACGATTAAAGTTTAAGGTATCACTAAAGGTCTGGTGTGATCAAAATGTTTTTTATCCTTTAATATTTATATTAGGCTACTTTGAAGAGCTCACTAAAAATGAAGAAATGCCCCTGTGTGTTTTCTAAGCTGCATGTATGCTTTTCTTGTTTTCTATACTTCTGTGAAAAGACAGGGAATCCTTCAGCAAAATGCAAAATATGTGTTAAATCAAATGATCTAGCATTTTGGTGAAGGATTCCCAAGAATTCCCCCGAAGACAACTGGATCATTCATTTATACATTGCCTTTGGGACCACTTGACTAGCACGTGTTTGATTGTTTTATTTCATGTAGAAACTCGTAATTCCATAATTTGCGCAAAAAACTTTTTTCTGGGAGTGATATTTTACTTTCCTTTTTTTACTTTTACTATGATGGCCCTTTGTGTGAATTTCTTCTCAAACAAGGTTCCCCTGGTCATCATGGCGCAAATCCTTGAAAGTAGCTATTCTGCTCTGGAAACACGGCTATCTTAGAAATAACATAACGGCATACAAATAGACATATGAGGGAGGGCAGTATATGGTGAAGTAAGGAATTTTATTAGAAAGCAGATTTTTTCTGTATTGCATTTAAAGAAATCAGTTACTCTTGGACTACACAACTGAAACTGGTGATGGCATGATGATGAACACCATGATGGGAATGAAAGGTAGATTCTTATGCAACATCAAAAGTGGCAACTTGCATTTCCGTTGTATATATTATTGATGCTCGAGTCAGAAGGCGCATAAACATTTTAACATTTTTCATTTGAAACATAAAGCAGTATTAACACCGAAATTGTCCCATCCCAGTTTGCCTGGTCCAAGCCCTATTGATAGTAAAGAATGGTACCATGATAAAAGTGTAGGGTTGCATGATACGATCCTCTTTTGACATATGGACTGTTGTCCATTGTTACCAATAAGCCCAGACTTAGGACCAAGTTCGGCCCATGCTTACCAGAGCATTACAGATATGGTCCATGTCAACATGGGACAACTCTGTTCACGAAGCACCAAGGTTTTCAGTCAAATATCAGTCAGTCCTTGTTGCAGAGACACATGCCTATAACCAAGAAGGCTGGATATATCACCATGTTCCTCCACTCTGGAAAGTAAGCTAGCACAGACCAAAGCAAGCTGGAGAAAGACAAAGCAAACAGCAAGAGCACAGCAAGTCATGTCAGATCTCCCATAATGCACTTTGGGTCTCATCCCTATTCTGATTGTCAGCGCTCTGAACACATGGCTTTAAAAGTTGCGTTTACTCCCCCTTCGCCAAACCCTCGGCCACTCTTTGACTTTTTTTCCTTTCTTTCATTTGTCTAAAGTGCTGGCATTATGTTCAAGGACACATACATACACATACAAACTTTTAGTGCATTTTTTTCTGAGTCTGCTGAAGGTTCAAACGCACACTCAACTGGGTAGTTAGTCTATGTATTCCACTCTTTATCACTATTTTTCTGCCAATAATAATTAATAATAGATTCAACTTTACACAAACATTCAATAAAAGGCCAGGGTGTGTGATAAAAATACAACCCTCATCATTGCAAGACTCCACAGTCTTTGACAACAGTTATTCAGCATAAAATACATGGTGCATAAAGATCAGAGGTTTCATTGGGTTAGGGTGAATGTCTGAATGGCATGCATTTTATGATACAAGTGTCTCTTTGCATATAAATGTATTGTTTTTGGGATAAACCACTCAATGGAACAAAAAAACTACTGTGCCCATTAGTTTGACAGTAATGGGAGATGAACAGAGCACTATGTAAGGTTTTAGAAAGTAAGTAACAATTTATTTGCAAAGAAATGTTGTGAAAATAGGTTATTTTCAGCCAACAATCCCATCCTATCTCTTATTTTTGTCATTTTCAGTGATCATCCAGGTGAACGGCAGATATTGCAAACAACAAATCTCTCTCTCTAAAAAAAATAAAAATAAAATAAGAACTTAACTACAGAGTTTGCTGTGAACGACACACTGGTTTAAATCAAAGATATATGTAAAATACACAACATTACATACATTTTGCAGGACTTTTTCCTTTCAGCCACCTCAAATAGAGCTCATCCTCCCAAGGGTTATCCATGACATTCTCTGAGGATTTCTCAGTAAATAGTGCAACATCATTCATCCTGCACAAGAAAAAATTAAATAAAAATAGACTCTAAGCAGAAGAGCAGCAAGAAAAATTAACAAACTGAAATGTCAATGCATCCAGGGAAATTAATGTCAGATGTTTATGCATGTGTTATTGTTTTGTGAGGAAGACTGTTCAAAAATCTCATATTTAAAAGTGAACAAGGGAATGAACAGGTTTGACTACAATAGATATTACATGTTTTTTTTTTGTTTGTTTTTTTTACATACTTGGTCTGTCAATAGTATAAATAAAGGAGGACGTCAATCCAGGCGAACCAGGTTGTTGCTGACTAGCTTTTGAGTGCATCCAAGTATTAATTAATTTATTAATATTTAATGAGTTCAACTTAATTGGGCTGGTGCACACTTTGTCCTTAAATAATGAGATGATGGCAAACATAAAGTAAGAAAATAAGTGAATAAAACACTACACATATCATACCGAACAAAGGTGCTTGGAGGCCAATTTTAGTAGAATTATAACTTCAGTAAAGGGATAACAAATCAGTCGCTGTCTGCATTCTACCCTTACAGGTACTTTGTTTCTTGTTTGTCTCTGACAATAAAAGGTTCACATCACAGCACCCACACAATCACAGTCTAAGGCACTGCTCCACACCCCTTTATCACTACAGTGGAGTATATCAACGTTTCCCACCCTATTTTCCCTATATTAATTACCACTTTTTTTTAAATTGGAGTCAAATTCCTCTAAGTTAAAGTAGCGGCCATGCAAAATTCTGCATGTTCGAAAATAGACCTTGGCAAAACCAAAAGCATAGATTTATTGTACATGAAAATAGAGAAAAAAACTGAATGAACTTATATGTAATACTGTTTCAATTTTTTGGGCGGCAGGTTAATTAGGTTGCAAGCTATTTTGTGATCTAAAGTAACAACTGAATTAGGTTTTATTACAAAATTACATACAGTATGTATGCATTTTGGGAAGACTGTTACCTTGGTTGGCAGAAGTACAGGTGATCCTCTCAAAAGTCCAGTAAATGCAGTAGTGGCTCCAATAAACAACTGAATATCTTTATTTACTTTTTACAGGAGGCAACTTTAGGAACTGAAGCTTAATAAATTAAATTTAGATAAAGAAATTCTTATATCTATACTGATAAATATATCTATACTGAGTCATTTCAACACTAAATACATACATAATTGTCCAAAGACTTAAAAAATGAGGAGCTTGTTGGGATAAAAATAGAGTTATAAATAGGGGTGGGGGTAAAAATTGATACAGCATAGTATCGCGATATTTTGCGTGGCAATACTGTATCGATACATGGACGCCAAGTATCGATCTTTTATTATATAAAATGTACATTAGAATTTTACTTTTTTGGTACTATAATAATATAATCAATTGCTTTTTCAGTCCGCTAGAAAAAGAGTTTTCCACAATTTAAGTTGGAAAAAAGTAATAAATTCCAATACATCGCAACATGTTTAAAATCGTAGTAATATCGTATCGTGACATAAGTATTGTGATAATATCGTATCGTGGGGCCTCTGGTGATTCCCACCCCTAGTTATAAAAGTCTGTACTCAAACCTCGCTCAGTTTTCGGTATATTAGGGAACCACTCCCACATTGGAAGACCTGTTTACATAAGTTTAAAAATCACAATATCACTAAAGCTTTAGGTTTCAAACCTCACAGTCAAATTTATATATATTATGGCCCATTTTTAAGAGTATACAATTGAGGAAAAAGTGACTCATAAAAAAGAGATGGAGTCTTTAATCGTATTCAATCAAGGCTTGGAGCCCTCGCCAAAGCAGTGCTACAGTTTACATTCATTCATCATCTCAGCCATTCTATCACAACTTTCTTTTATCAATGGCAGATCATATTTCTTCCAAAAGAAAAAAAAGATACTCTAATTGTCATTATTATGACCTAGTGCAATTATAAGCCTGTGTTTCTTGTGCAGGGCCATCTTAAAGCTTCCCCTAAAGAATCCGTAACAAGATACGTAGAACACAGACGGAGAATAATCTGGCCTAACCTAACCAAGGGGCATAGCGCTGAAGCATAAAAAGATCAAATATACCAGGGGCATGTTCAGGATTTCTTTTTTGCTCATTTGTTAGCTTATGCCATCATTTTCTGCAGTGAAAAAACAATCTGATTAATTTGATTTTTCAGCCACCTAAAAAGTAGCTATGCTTTCAAAAATGTTGGCGGCTTAAAATAACTTTGGGGTTCATTTATCAACTGAAGTTGAAGGTCTGATATTGTGATTAGATGTGCTTTGACAGGGATCAGGAAAACCCAGAAAACAGAAGAAAACATACAGCAGTGAACTGCTTAAAATCAATACACAAAAAAATAAAAATAAAAGCTGGACTGCGTCCCTATGCATGGCAGAAAGCATGAAAACAGATACATATAATAATAAAAAAAACTATGACAAATATAGGTTAAAGTTCCGACATTGCCTCACTCAACCTCCTTCCAAAATATACAGTTATTGTCAGAAAGACCAGTTTTTCTCTTTAGTTTTCAGTCACATTTTTGCCAAACTCCTTAGTTTCCCCCTGCTTTCTTTTGAGTGGAAATGCAATAAGCCAGCAGAAATTGCTCTTATAAGTTTTATTCAATAATTTACCCCCCAATCCCCCCAAGGAAGTAAAAACAAAAGAGGATGGAAGCAGGACTATGTAGTCTAGGTGCCGATCACGCCACCACATCAAGGTGAAACAGTGCTTCTCTCTGGCATTTTTCCTTCTACCACTCAGTGTGTAGTGCACTTCCTCTTACTACTCCGTACATTCAGTCTCCTCTACCTGTGGTGACAGCACGCTCCATAGTTAAAAAAAAGACAGTCCAACTGATACACAGTAAATCCTGGGTCGCAACCAGGTCAGTTCTAACGTGTGTCAGACTGAGGTCAGATCCCAGTCAGAAAAAGATAAAAAGTCATTTTGCGCATTAATGGCATATCTCGAGGCAACAGTAGCTGTTTTCTTATTTAGATGCAGGTTTGTGGCTTTGTTGTTGTTTTCAATAATTCTCTGTATCCATTGTTTGTGTTCATGCATGCAAGCTTGGATTTTAGTGCATGTTCTTGTTCACGTTTCTCTCTGTATCTCCAAGACAGAATTATTTAATTTAAAAGGACCTTTTCAAAGTTAAAAAGCATTGTTACATTTTTTTGGACACTGTATTTTTAATGCACTGGTGCAGATGTTAAAGTCTAGTATTATAAGGTGAAAAATGTGCGCACGTGTGTGTGTCTGCGTCTGTATGCGTGTGGTTGGGAGGGGCAGTCTGGAGCAGACACAGGCATCACATTGACAATCTAATCCAAAATGTCACAGGCAAATGTGCATGAAAAAAAACAACTCCCTGCGATAGATTTATTGTTAGATTGTGTCTTGAGCTTTTGCAAAAAAACTAAACAAAACAAAAAGTTTTCTTATCTTTATCATAAAAAAATTACGTGCCGTTTCAAAAAAAAAGAAAAATACTTCTGTTTAATGGTGGCAATACAGTACTTGACTTGACTTGACTTTTAATTATAATACAATCTTTGTTATATGTTCATATATATTTACCATACAACAATATGATATAAAGTGGCCAAACACTGCAAAATAAGATGCTTTTTAAGAGAGCTGTTCTCTGATCTGTTTTTTTCCCCCCAAGGTTACATGGGTTATTTTCAGATGCAGCTTCCCAAGAAAACGGAATCATTTTACAAACCATTATACCACACTCCATAAACTGCCAGCAAAGCAGCTGTTGCTTTTGTATTGCACGGAAATGATGAATCATTACAGCCATTTGTTCTGCTATCAGGCCTGTGTAATATTGCTGCAGGTGCCGAAATACTGAGTAAATACAGAATACACGAAGAAAAAGGGTGGAGCAGAAAGGGCTGATTTTCTCAATGTGCAAATGCCATGCCTGTGTCTACCTCTACTATCAGTGTTCTACTTCCACTATCAGTAAGTATGCGTGTACACATGTGCGCATGCATGTGTGACAAATTCCTGTATAGTAGGACCTACGAGCTCAGCTTTTTGTGCCGGATAATTCCTTTTGAGGAAGCACAGAGGAGAAGAAAGAGTGGTGGACGACATGTTAGAGTAAGGGAGCAAGCGAAAGAAAAATGCGGCGTTAAACAGATTTCACAATGTGAGAGGCAGCCCAAGGGACATTCACTGTCCGTTCACCCTCAGACCTTGTCCAAAACTTTCCACTTCCTGCTCAGACGGCGTGTCACCACAATTGCCTGCCTCAGCTCCTGGGATCAAAGATGGGGCACTCAGTGATCCGTCTACACCCTCTAACCCAGCTTCATCCTCATCTTCCTCCTGTTCCTCCTGGACCACTCCTTCACCTTCACCTTCAGCCTCTGCTCCAGCTGCCCCAGACCCAGGGCTGCCCTCTGTCAGGGCTGGGTGAGTCCTAAGAGGGTCCTTGCGATCTGGATACAACCTTTGCTCTAGGGTCTTGAAGTCAGGCTCGAAGGGGAGGGTTGCCCCTGGTTGAGGGGCACCCAGCGCCAGGCCCAGACCCACAGCAGCGCCCATGCCCATTCCTGCACGGTACACCTCCATGCCATCAGGCAGCATGGACTTGATCTTGGGCAGCCATCGCTTGCGGACACGCCTCGCATTTGTGCACATGTCAGCAGCAATCACATTCATTTCACTCTCCTTGAAGTTAGGGTTGAAATTTTGACAGTAGACTGTAAAAGAGAGAAAAGAAAAAACTCCATGAAGACAAATTTTCTATATCTTCTAAATTCCATCACATATATTAGGTGATCTGGACGATGAACCTACGTTTGACAGCGTTGAGGACCCTGCTGTCCAGGGGTTTCCTACTGGGGTCACTAGTAGAAGAACGGATACCTGTCCCACAGCTATTGGCTAAAGTGTTTCTGCAGGGACACAGAGTCAACCACCAGGGGGCAGAGTCAGCAACAGGCACACACAGGAGATAAACATGGGAACACACACATACACAACTAACTGCATTGCACAACATGGCCACAGATGGAGTGTGAAAGTTGGTTTGTGACAACAGCGATGGTGTCGGAGTCATACACAGAACTCAAACCTTACAGCAGGCCCTTCAACAGTAATAGAAACTGTTCTGCTTAGTTGTGCCTGCCTTTATACTCACCTATCAAAGAACGTGGCTAGCAGACGGCGGAGCAAGACTTTGTGTTTGATACCAGCGCATAGATGACAATTCATCAGCTGGCCTCGAGTCATGAACACCTGTGTACCTGGAGTGGTATTAAAAACAAAGAGGGATTTAGCTGAGAAAAAACTGCTCATGTTAAAATCCATTTTCTGTCTTTGAAGACTCTAGGGGTTTGTCCTTTCTGTTTTCTGGCCCAATTATCAGTTTATCTTTTTATTCTTTTGCTACGCTTGAATTTCATGTTCACAGAGATCTTCAGCGGAGTTAAACAAAGCTTCAGCTGTCCAGAATGGAATCTGAAATCGGGCGAGGAATCATAGTTGGAGGCCATAAAAACAGCACCCTATCAAATTACTTGGTTTTGCTTTCATTTCGAAACCATCTCTTTCACATGCATGTACTGTACTCTGTATCTTATACGCACACTACAGAATTGAATTACACATTTCCACTGTGTTCCATTCTGTTTTAATTCAATTACATTACAATTTGATTGAATCAGAGCATGTCGTAACTTTTAACTCTTGTACTGCTACGTTTTTTGATTCATTACTGACTACATGTGCATGTGTCATTGTGCTAGGCTGTGCCTGTGTGTAAAGTGCACTGGGAGGTATTCAGACTCCATTCTTCTGTCTGAAAAGATTCAATACTAAATTGATTCAACTTTTTTGCCATACTACATTGTAGGAATTATATTATGTCCATGTTGAGGGCTACCTGGTCTCTTTGAAAGTATCTGGTTTGACTGCCAAGAGGGATATCTGGCAAGTCAGACCAAAGAGTTCAGTTTTTGTCTCATCATACCAAAAAAAATCTTTTTCCTCATGCTTTCAGAGCACTGAAAGGCCCATTTGGCAAACTTCCGGCAGGTTGTGATATGCTTTTTACTCCAGAGTGACTTCTGTCTAGTCACTCTACCATAAAGGCCTGATTGATGAGTACTGCAGAGATGGCTGTCCTTCTGTCACGGTTTTCAATCTCTGCAGAGAAACCGCAGCTTTGTTCTGTCCCTTTCAGGTCAACACAGTAATGTGGGTCAAGATCACTTTAGTGGCCAATCAGAATCTGAAAGTCAGACGCTACCAAATGGTTTTGTCGTTGGGGACGACAATTTAATTTAATGTTATTGACGTCTAAACATAATTTAGCCAAAATGTCTTAATTATACGGTTTAGGAAGAATGTACACTGGAGTTGCAGACTCAAGTCACTGTAATGACCAGAGATTAACCTCTGACAGCAGTCTCATACATGGGTTGAATAAGAGTCACTGGGTTATAGGTAACCTCCTCAATCAATGGTCTCTTTGCCAAGCTACTCATTTTGGGCATATGGCCAGCTCTAGGAAAATACTTGATTTAAAAAAAGGTTTCTACTTCAGTATAATGGCGCTCTTTAAGCTCCTGAATTTATGAGTTGATTCAGTTCAGTCAGTCAAATTTAATTTGACCAACTATTGACTTTTAAATAGAGCTGCAACGATTAATCAATTAACTCCTATTTTGATAATCGATTAATCGGTTTGAGTAATATAGAAAATTCATCTGATTCCAGCTTCTAAAATGTAAATTATTATTATTTTTTTTCCCTCTATGACAGTAAACTGAATATCTTTGTCTTGTGGACAAAAGAAGACATTTGGGACGTCATCCGGGCTTTGGAAAACACTGATCAACATTATACACCATTTGCTGACATTTTATAAGCCAAAAAACAAATCAATTAAATCAAGAAAATAATCTACAGATTAAATTGAATAAATCATTAGTTGCAGCCCTAACTTAAAACTATTTCATATGCAGAAAGGGGGAGGTATAAATACTTTCCAAACTCATTGCATACAAGTTATTCTCTGCATGTGTGCATGTGATAAAATGTAAATGGGCGCGAATGGATGCGTGTGTTTGCATGTGTGCCTACCAGCTACCAATTCCAGCTTCTCCCCAGGGTCTCCCTCAGAGTAGAGCTTAGGGTGGCAGCGGTAGCCTATCTGGCTGATGAGGCTTGCAGGCAGCGCCACCAGGTCCCGGCGGATCAGCACACAGTTGCGGTTCTCCAAGGCCAAGGGCACTGCTGCCATCTCTGGCTTGTCCTGGACTGATGAAAGCAAGCAAGAACAGAAAGGGTTCAGAAACCTTTAGAAAAACTAAGAGGGTTTTGTGTTGCTCAGCAGAACAGACACAGATATACACGTATACACCCGTATATTTATCAGACTATAAACAAAGTTATGCCATCATCCATACCCTCTGTGTCCCCTATTTAAATTGAGGTTGCAAAATTTTAATTAGGAAAGCAGGTTGGTGTAATTTCATACAAGTACGTTGTATTTCATAAATGTTTTAGAGCATTGCAGATGTATCCCAAATAAGTCACGATGCTGCATCAGCAACTTGGGTTTTGGAGGGGGACAGATTCAATGCTTGGTGTTAGGTTCTCACTCACAAAATTGTTTCCCCTAACCTCTGAGATGACTTGACAGTGTATGCACACTCACACACTTCCAGCACACACACACACACACACACACACACACACACACAGAACATGAGAAATGAATCCATTAATTGCCACACACATGCACATAGCGCATACAGAAAAGTGTGGATTAATGCATTTGCGCACAAACACACACACACACACGAAAGACGTGCATGGTTATCAAATATCCCACAATGTCACCCTGGGGTGCTCTGATTGATTGCAGATAGAGTGGATTTCATAAATATCTGAAACTCTAGAATTTGACAAACCTGTGTGATGCCTTTGAGCTGCAGGATGTTAAGAATGATGGAGAGAGAGAGAGAGAGTGAGTGAGTGAGTGAGTGAGTGAGTGAGTGAGTGAGTGAGTGAGTGAGTGAGTGAGTGAGTGAGTGAGTGTGTGTGTGTGTGTGTGTATGATATGCGAGTTTGAGTTTGAGAGTGTCCAGTGGTACCCGGTCTGTGTGTTGTTTTGTAAATACAAACACAAGTTAATGTTCGCCTGCATGTGTAGGCAAATCTGCACCAATATGACAGTGTGGTAGAAAACCATAACAAAAAGCAGCACAGACCAGCTGTTGTAGCTGTGATAAAGAGTGTGTTGTTGGTCACGATGCACTCGAATCATAACTCCATAAAGCTATCTTTATGCTGAGAGAACCCACACACACACACACTGAAGGCATAACATCCTGTTTTTTCAAGATGCTCAGGATACATGATTTATGAAAGATTAAATAATGTAACTGGGATAAAAGGAATTTGCATCAGTTTTTTCTTCTTTTTTTTGCACAATACGTAACAAGTCTGGACAAGGAGCAACTATGTTCCCAAAACCCTGCATTTATGGTCATATAGTTCTGCGAGTCATGCCGGGTTTTACTTTTAGATTGGTCTGATATCAAATGAATATCCTCCATCTGAGCCAAGGGCAAATGGAAAAAGTAATTCACTTTCAGTGAGATCTTACATGACTAGAAAGATTAAAGTGAAGCGAGATTTGCCATTGAGATTGTCTTGTTAGAATTTGGTCATTTGACCAGTTTTTCCTTTAAACTACTTTAATTTACTGGAGTTAAGAAATAAACATGATAAAAGTTAGTGTAGTGGAATAAATTATTATTGAGTTTGTTGTGAGATAAAAATGTAATATTACTTTTTGACTATAAATGAGACCATAATGTATTTTTAGAAGTTTTAGAAGGTTCCAGAGTGAAGCTTCAGTGATGAGTGCTCTCCACCAAACATGCCAATGGTTTGGTTGAAATACACCTAAGCACTGCGACACTTCACAAAGATCTTCTAAAAGCATCAATGTAACATAATACTCACTCCCGTATGGGTTAGCCGAACGTCCATAGAGATGACTGTAGGCATCCTCTGTGATCCCATCATAGGGCTCTTCTTCAAACTCCTCATCCTCGTTCTGGTAGGATGTAGGACTATCAGTGGTTGGCAGGCTGGATGCTCCAGGACTTGACCTTTCAATTCCTGCCCCGCCGCCACCGGCCCCTTGAAGGTGGTAAGGAGGCATACCAGGGATGTGGGTCCCACCAGCCGTCGTGTAGAACAGTGAACTGGCCCTGGCCAAACGACTCCCCAACTCCGAAGACGAAATCTTGCTTTGTGTCGAGGGTATTGTCAAGGGTGTTGGGTCACCCCCTTCTAGTTTAATCTTACGGTGCGGCATGAGTAGGGATGGAGACCAGCCCGGGGTTCCCAAAAGGGCAGCCACCGCAAGGCCGTTACCGTTATTACAAGGACTCTGCGGCTCGGATCCTGTTTCCTCTAAGGTACCTGCAGTTTGCGAGTCACAGTGAGGTGAGTTCGCCTTGAACATTAGGTCCATGCCTCTTTCAACTATATGCTGAATTTGGAGGTAGCCAGCTGTGTACATGACCACCAGCTGTTCACTAGCTGCCATTGTTAACTTCCCTGTATAGCAGAAAGTGAGTATCTGCTCAAAGCAAGCCGGTGTGACTGAGGAGGGCAACTCAAACTGGGTCTTGGTGGAGCTGCTGAAGAGGTCACGAAAGTAGAGGCTGCTGGCAGCCAAAACGGCCCGGTGGGCTTTGAAAGCCTGACCTGTTTGATAGAAATAACAGAACAGGAAAAAAGTGAGATCTTTATTTAAAAAAATCTAATATCATTCAAAGTTCTGTAAATAAAATAAAATCTCCAGATTTCCTACTAACCAACCTTTGACCAGGATGGATACATCGCAGTAGTGTCCCAGCAGGCGCTGCTCATTAAGGGAGCCCAGAACTGTGGCTCCAAAGTTCGGGATCTCCACATGGAGCTGCTGGGACATGTTGGCCGCAGAAGAAAAGGAAGATGGTGCTTCAGATTTTTCCTGCAGACTCTGCCACTGAGAGAGGCATCTGTAATAAAAAAAAGAAAGAAGGTATGGAGAATGCGTTGGGGAGGAAAAATACAGTGATAAATAAGGAGTGAATAGAAAATGCGTGAAAGATGAAAAGACATGCCAGAGGGAGGTAGAGAGGCGAGAAGGGAAAATTGAGAGAATTTTAAAGGACGAGCAAAGCGCAAGAATGGAAATAGAGTTGAGATGAAGTGAGAAAATGAATACAGTTGAAGGAGAAGTGAGAGGTGTGTGAAAGAGAGATGGATATGCCGAGATAGTGGGTGAGAGAGTAGAGGCAGTAGAGCGAAAGGAGGAGTCAAGTCAGTCCAACCAAAAAATAAGCGAAAACAATGCCGTGCCCGTGGTACATGAGAACGTTGTGAAATACCTTTAGGCTTAAGGCTATGTTGTTTTACATGACTAAAGTTCCTAGAACCTTGGACTCGTTCCATGTATTGCACTTAATGCATCATCAACAACAGACCTGCAGCATGGACTTTCATGACCTGTAAGTCAGCCTTAACAACTTTTTTGAACCACACCGAATACAACCAGTTTTTCCATGTTACAGTTTAGAGATACTCTTTTATTTTGCTGACTCTACACCTTTGTCAGCAATTGTCCTCTTTCTAAACTCAACAAAACAACACAACTCATGTCACATACACAATTTCACATTAACTTAGATACAGTAGCTCCCCTTTCTGCTCCTCAGTAACATTCTCCAGGCCTATTTGCACCTTCTTTCCTTCCCTGTACCTTGTGTCATTGTTTTTTTTTCCTCCTCCCCACCAACCCACACACATACATATACGCACTAGTTTCATTATTAAGCAATGCTGCAGAACAGTTTCCAGGAATACAAACTGAAAAAAATGTCACCGCCTCTCTTACACACACACACTCTCTCTCTCTCTCTCTCTCTCTCTTGCTCTCTCTCCCACTTCATGCACTCCATACAGACATGCACTCTGGCATACTTATGTAAAAGTGTACACACATAAACACACACACACACACACACACACACACACATACAGTACAAGCTGCATAGGGAAATTACTGTGTACTCTGGCACACAAGCACTCACCTGGAGAAACCAGCACACGACTTTGCTCTGCTAACAGTCTCTCACACATGCACAAATGTAGAAAAAGGCGCTCACTGTTATCCCAGACAGTTCTGACCTGTGTAAGCCAGTCTTCTGGTTAAAAACACACCATAGAGTCCTGGCACACAAAAACACACCAGCAGCAGTCAGGACCAGGACAGAAGAGGAGGAGTTAAGAGATGGAAGGAGAGCACTCTGATGTACTCCGTCTGGTCGACTCTCTCTTTCACTTAAAGTGTCATTCCCGCTGACTCAAAAGATGATTCTCTCTGCTAGCCTGACTTTTGTCTGTCTGTCTTCCCCCAGCCTATCTTCTATCTCTATATCCTCCAAAGCCCCATTCTCTCTGCTCACTGTCTGTTCTAGCGCTGTCTCAAAGCCTCCCTCTGCCTCCCTGTCATTATCTCTCTCTGTTTCTCCCCCCCCCCCCTCTATTCTCCAAGGGTTGAATTCAACAAGTGCCGCTGTAGAGAGAGAGAGAGAGAGAGAGAGAGAGAGAGAGAGAGAGAGAGAGAGAGAGAGAGAAAGGAGGGGGGGGCAGAATGGGGAGAAAGAAAGAAAGCAGAGCACAGCGGAGCGAATCAATGATGAAAGGAGTGGGAGGCTCAGTGTGTGCGTGTGTGTGTGTGCATGTGTCTGCGCGCGTGTGTCTGATCAATGCAGTATCTATACGTCGCAGGGAGTGGGAGGGAGAGAAAAACACAGGCTACAGTTACAGACGGAGACAGAGACTGGGCAGAGCTAGAGAGAAGCAGAGGAGGGAGGGAGGGAGGGAGGGAGGGGAGAGTTGAGACAGAGAGAAAGTCATTTAAGGACAGTACGAGTAGAGAAAGACAATTAGGTTGAAGCAACTTCTGCCACTTGCCCCTGGACACACACGCCTATATGGTCTAACACAAAGAGGGAGAATGACTAAGACAAAAGAGAAATGAGAAAAGCTCACAGAGGTCATAGCCACCATTAATTAATTTGACATCGAATACTGAAACTTCTGAAATCCCTGTTTGACGCAAGTCTGGAGAGAATGCGTCACATCTTGGTAAAAGATAAACTGGAAGCTTTAATATACACGATGCAGTAACCCGCTAATGCGTCCAATTGTAGAATCAGAAAGGTTCATCAAAAACACTGTCATTTCAAGGCATTTCCCATTTTCTTACAATCTGTGGAAGACAATCGTTAAAAATAAAAGGGTTTACTTTTGAGCAAGTGTTGTGTATTTTCCTCTGAATCATGCAAGGACCTCTCTGCCAAACACCTACACACAAGCGGAGAGAAGTTCTGTCTTCACGCAAGACTATTTTGTATTTCTACATGAATTGATAAATGAAATGATTAATTTACGCCTCCACTTTGGTGGCTCAGCTTATTCTTATGACATTTCTGTGTTTTCTGGTGTTTAGTTTTTTTTGGGGGGGACCAGAACATGGAAGGCCTCCCGAAATGTTGCTTGATGTGGATAAGTGAGGACAGGAGCCAGATGTCACAGCCTTTGACAGAAGGAAGGAAAGATAAAAGACAACAGCTAACAGAGAGGTTAACTTCCAGAAATATGTGTGTGGGAGGATAGGAGCGCTGAATTGCTGTGACAGATGAGTATGTGCATTTTAACAGTATGTACACACACACACACACACACACACACACGTAAATGTTATTCTTGCATGTCAGAGCAACAACACAACAGAGGAAGCTCTCTGACCTCTGTGCTGCATTTGGTGGAAGAGACATGAAGACAGTAAACATTTCATAAAATTAATTCAAAATCCATCTTTTCACCTCACAATACACAATCTTAAAAAAAAAGTATCCAGACACATTGCAGTTAATTTTTTTTTTTTTGCCAAAGGAACCTCAAGTGGAGAAAGTTGTGCTAAACTGAGCAAACTTTTACTCTTCAGTCACAGCGGAAATATGAAAGGGAGGATATCACAAAGCGTTGAATACAGTGAGTCAGACTTTGGTTTAGAGAGCTTTGCCCCAGCAGTGTGATATCTGCACGACAGACACAGGCACACATGAGTGAGCACACACAAGAAGCACAGTCAAACGCAGGAGACACAAATCCGCAAACACACTAATGCAAACAGACATATGCACACGCCCGCTGTTCTCTTACACACACACGCACGCTAACACACAGTCAGGTAATCTCCCTGTGCACACTCAGCGATACACATTCTGTTTGTTTGTCTGTCTGTCCCTCTGTGAACTTGCCAGACAGCTGCTTGTCCATCGGTCCGTCCATCAGTCATTGTGACTATTGTGTCCTTACATCGCCTCTCCGCTCTCCCCTCTCCTTTTTTTCTTTCTTTTCCGCCCTGCATACCACATACCCACTGTCTCTCTGCCAATTAATGCACACAGGGCTGCATTGCAGTGAGGTTGGCGCGTGCCACGGCAGCAAGCACAGTACAGAGTCTACAGACATGCATGTACGTGCCAGCCGGGCAGAGCGAGAGGGAGTGGAGGGGGTGGGGTGGGGGGAAAGAGGAATGGGGGGGGGGGGGGGGGGGAGGGGGGGGGGGGAGGGGAATGGGGGGGGGGGGGGGGGGGGGGAGCAAAGGAGAGTGAACGGAGAATATGTTGAGTCAGGCAGACAGGACGGCAGCAAGCACATTTACACAGACACACAGCTGCATGTTCATGTAAATGTATGCACGAATGAATATGAAACAAACATACATGCACATGATGGTAAGCGCGCACATTCGCACACGTGCACATTTAAGCGCACATATACACGCGCAAAAAACATTCACACGGAAATTGCAACCTCCTCCTGCATTAAATATAGACTTTGCACATCCCTGATAAAAAAATATAAGGCATGCACTCCCTCAACTTGCTAACGAGTGGGTATGCCTCTCTGCTGCCTGTGTCCTCATTTCCTTCTGCGTGTGTTTGCATTTCCATGTCAAAGTTTCTCGCACACCAAGGCGTGTTTTTATAATCATCATTATAAACTCGGCTGTGACTTTTGGCACTGTATGTCAGGCGTGTGTGTGTGTGTGCTTCTGAGTTGAGATATGAAATTTGAACGCGGTTCTGATTGTCGTTGTCTGCTTTGTTGGAATGTGTTACATCCATTTTAATCAAAGATTCATACCTACGCACAGTGTTATTAACTGTAACAGCAGGTCCAGGCATATTTGAATAATATGAAGAAGTGAGACGATTCGCCAGATGGCACACACACATGCACACACGAACATACACACAGATTTAATTACGAGTCATACTGTAGCTACCTACCAAATGACAATGGAGTAACATTCAGACATAAAACCATAAAAGTCATACACAACTATGATTCATGCCTTCACCATTTAGCACTTTATGGAATAGTCTTGAAGTTACAGGTAAGTTGGTGTCACACTAACTTTTAATTCAAGATGTAGATAACAAAATCTAACAAAGACAAACATACAAAGACAAATACTGATACAGGGTACCATTAATTAATATCTCAATTAGAGTACAGCAATCCACAAAACTAAACTAAAAGAAAAATTTGAAGTGAGCCCAATAGGAGCTCCTTCCCGTCTCGCCTATGTTGCCTCTATACAATCTCAATATGAACAGTCCCTTCGTTATAAATATTCAGATCCTGCAGTTGTTCTCATGTCTAAAGTGTACCAGACAACAGATTCTATCCACGTTGAGACGGCAACGCTCCCTGGCAACAGTTCTACCAATCGGGACCGAGCGAGTGTCTGCCTGAGTCTGTCTGAGTATCATTATGGGATGTCGAGAGAGAGAGAGAGAGAGTGAGTGAGTGAGTGAGGGAGGCTGCTTATCACTGCTTATAATGCAACATCATTCTCTGTGTATAGACCCCGCTGGGTGAAGTTGTCTGCACATAGTCAGGATCAAAATCATCTTTTATTTAAAAAAAAAAAAAA